AGGGAGAAAGAAGGTCGGGGAAAGGAGGATGGGGGTGAGGAGGGGTCGGTGGGGAGCAGGGTGAGGGGGAAGAAGTTTAGGGGAAGTGTCAGCAGAGAGGAGGGTTGGGCTAAAAGGGGGAGATGAGAGTTGCAGGGATGACTGTAGGGGACTATGAGAGTCGGGGGCATTAGGGTCAGGGGGATGAGGATGAGGGGAAATGAAGGCTGTGGGAGAGGAGAGTCTGGGAAGAAGAAGGTCAGCGGGAGGAGTATCAGGGAGAGGAGGGTTGCAGAGATGAGGGTAGGTGGTGATGAGAGTCTGTAGGATTAGGGCCAGTAGGGATGAGAGTCAGAGATGAGCATGTCAGGTGATGCTGGCCTGAAGAGTCTGTGGATGGAGAGAAGAGGGTGACAATGGGGCAAGAATGTGCCTCATGGAGTAGGAAGTGGAACATGCGGGATGCTTTAATTTGGGTTCCCCTAGAGAAGCTGACTCTGAGGCAGGGATTTGCATCTTATATGGAACACTGGAAAAAGGATGGGGAGTGGGGCAGGGCAGGGAAGTCCTCCAATAAACCGTGCTTAACCAAGCAGCTACTGTGCACAACAAGAGCCTAATTCCAATGGGAGACTCTGAGATCCAGCGTCAAATACACATCGGAAGGGCAAAGGAGCCGGGGTAGATACACACCAACTCCAATTGGTCATTGGCAGCAGGCTGACTGCTGTGTGTGGCATAGAAGGTTCCAGTGACAAGAGAAAGACCTCAGCCTCCCACCCACAGAAAAGGAGGCGCTGACGATCTGTGTGCATCGAAATGATACAGGCAAGGGGATACAGGCAGGCCCCGACAGCATCTGCTACAGAGGACGGAGTGGGGAAGAGGCATCCTCAGGCCCCTTGAGGACAGCAAGCATCTTGATCTCTTTAGCCACAGATGGGAGTCTCCTAGAATCCTCATCCTCACTGATGAACAGATTTGGGGGCGTAATGAAGGAGAGGTAGCAAAGTAGAGAGATGTTCCCCTCTACCTGGGGACGTCCTCCCCTTAACTCCTGGTGGCCCACTTTCTTATCCTATGGCCAGGTCTGCAAGGAAGAGGGTGGCCGTCTACCCCAGGAAGGGTATGCTCTCAGGGTTTCTGCTGCTGGGATTATCCCTGGTCTGACTCCAACGTGGGTTGGGGTGGGGAACCTTGGTTCTCACCCCCTTCTGCTCTGTCCCTTCTCCTCAGGCACCAGGATGATTACTCCACTGTGCTTGTGGTGGTGCTGACCTTCCTCCCGTTGCTGATGCTGATCGTGGTCTATGGGTTTTGGAAGAAGAGACACATGGGAAGTGAGTAGAGCCCACCTCCCAGCCTCCTGAGGGCAGAGCTCTGTGTAACTGTGCTAAGGGTTATAACCTCGAGTCCCAGGTTGTATGGCCCGTGGCTTGTGTCCAGTCAAAGGTCAAAAGGACCGTGAGGCCTCCACCTAGGGAGGAGGGTGGCCAGGCAGAGAACACCCAGCACAACCCTAAGGGGATGACCTGGAAGGAACCAGAGGCAGAGCCAGAAAGGGGCTGGGGCTGGTGGAGGAGCATTGGGGTACCGTGGTCAGGGCAGGGCCCTTCCTCAGCTCTCCCTGTTTCTTGCAGGCTACAGCATGTGCAGCGATCCTTCTAGACGTGACCCACCAAGAAGGCCAGAGCCCCTGTGGAAGCCTGCTTGATCTGAGGCCACTTACACATGGGGTGGGGAGCTTCTCCCAGAGTGGCCCCAGGGGGTTAGAGGAGTGGTGAAGACTGGGGCCAGTCTGGATCAGATGAAGTTGGAGGACTTGTGCAATGCTGGACTCACCCAGGCCTTCCTATAACCAGAGGCTGCCCTCCTGAGCAGCCCCACAGCCCGGTGTTCTCCTGGGCTGCAGGAATCTGGGGAGGGTCCCAGAGCAAAGGGCCTCAGGCAGGAAGTCCAGAGGAAATGTGTCCAGTGGTTTCTGCTCAGAGCCACAGACTCCGGTGCTCTCGGTGGAGGGCAGGGGAACCCTGGGAGTGCTGTTTACAGAGAACCTCAGCTCCCGTCTGCCTCAGAAACCCTTACTATCAGGCTGAGCTGCTCCTCCCCACCAGTGTCACTGTGTCCTCCGCTTCCCTCTGCTCTGCTCCAGCTTCCCCTAAGCTTAGGGAAGAGTTGGGCTCACGAGTCCCAGAGGCGGCGATGTCCCATCCTGGAGGACAGGAGACAGTGACTAAGAGCTGGGGACCCACAGAGGGATTGGCACTTCCCCCTTCAGGCCACGTGTCCTCTGCTGGTCCTCTGGATGGCCCTGCCCTGACTGGGGCTGCTCCTCCCTCCTGTCTGGGGACCCTGCAGAGCCCATGCTCTCACTGCTGCCACCTACTGGCCGCTGCCTCCTAAGAAACGCGCAGCTAAGAGCCTCTAGGCTGCAGGGTCAGTTTCTCCCCGGACTGAAGTTGAGAGGCTGGACTTGGGGCTCTTTCCCCCAGCTTCTACATCTGGGCTCCAGATCTGAGTTCCCACAGGGGACTCAGTGGCCTTCAGCAAGTCCACACCCTGGGGTGGCTGAGACCTTGGCTCTGTGTGAAGGGTGCTGACGCATGGCTCAGACTCAGCCTCTACTGCACAGACCACTGGCCTGGGGTCCAGCAATGAAGGCTGGAGAATGCAGCCTGGATTTCCAACCCCAGAGAGGAGAGTCTACTGACCAAGAGTGACTGGAATAGCACCTAGGGATAAATGTGACAACTGTGCATTCAACCCTGGGTCAGGGACGTTCCAATGGCCAGGAGAGTGACATAGCCAGGACCCTGGTGATCGGCCACAGGGGGTCACTTCAGGATGGATGTGGGGAGAGCGGAAGGGGCAGGGAGTAATCCTGGAGAACAGCTGGGAAGAGGTACTTCTTCCCTATGTCCAGGAGGGGGCAATAGAAGGAATACTGAGGCTGAAGAACTGACAGCTCTGGTCCCATCCAGGACACACACAAACACACACACACACACACACACACACACACATCTCTGTCTAGCAAGCAACCTGCTTAGATAGCTGTTCTCCCTATCATGAGGGTGTGGCCACACCCTGATGTGTACTAGGAGGGAGCTTAACACACCTGGGAGAAAATAACTCCCCAAAGAGCTCACACTAGCAGCACTGATGGCCCTGCTTCCTCTGAGAGTGAGATGCCTGTGGGGAGGAGCCCTAGGGAAGAAATCAGGGACAGGGACCTGAGATGCCACTCTGTCACTGTGTGACCCTCAGCAAGTCACTAACCCTTGGTCCCGTTTTTCCTCGTGAAAGAGGAAAAATTTTCTCTCGTGAAAGAGAACAGTAATTCCTGCTTCTCAAGATTGTTTTCAATATAAAAGAACATAAGCATTGTACAACGATGTAAATGCCTCATTACCATTGTTCCTGATGTTTTTCCCGTTCTAATGTTGCTTCCCATGTTACATTTAAGGCCTTAGGATTCTATTTCTTGGTTTTGTCCTCTCTCTTCCCAAGTGCCATCGCTATATGGATGTTGGGGGCCCTGATGACAGTCCCTTTGGTAAGGTCCTCTTTTGAAGAGGGGAGGGTACAGAGTGGACTCATCTCAGTGTGACCTTAGCAAGTCACTGCCCCTCTCTGATCCTGTTTCCTCATCTGGAAAAGATGTGAGAGAGGAGAAAGGAAGAAACCGGTCTGGCAGGCAGTTGAATTCTTTTAAACAAAAGAACAGCCTGAAAAATCAAGCTACAGGCACAAATAAGGGAACTTTTACAGTGGGGCTTGCCTAAGACATGTCCACAGCCTCACAGATAAGAAAGACTACACAGGTGACTTGCCCAAACATGCCCACAATGGAAAATTTAATCCCCTGACATGTGGAGTAAGCGGACCAAAGCAATATGGAGTAACTCAAGCTAAGCGCCTGCACATTAGAAAGACAAGGTGGAGCTGGGTGCAGTGGCTCACACCTGTAATCCCAGCACTTAGGGAAGCCGAGTGAGGTGGATCATTTGAGGTCAATAGTTTGAGACCAGCCTGACCCATCTCTACTAAACCCCATCTCTACTAAAAATACAAAAAAATTAGCCAAGTGTGGTGGCGCATGTCTGTTTTCCTGGCTACTCAGGAGGCTGGGGCAGGATAATCCCTTGAACCTAGGAAGCGGAGGTTGCAGTGAACAGAGATCCCACCACTGCACTCCAGCCTGGGTGTCAGAGCGAGACTCCATCTCAAAAAAAAAAAAAAAAAAAGGACAGGGTGAAGCTACCAGAAATTCATGCCTTATGCAAATGAGACACCCAGCTCTTACATTTCTTATAAAAGGCTTTGCATTCAACTGTAAAAATGGCAACCTTCTTTCAGACCCCTTCTTCTTTCAGGCAGAGAGCTTTCTTCCTTTGCTCATTAAACTTTCCCACCAACCTCACCCTTGGTGTCCATGCTCCTTAATTTTCATGGTTGTGAGACAAAGAACTCCAGGTGATACCTCAAATAGCGAGAGACTGCTACATTGTGGTGCACTGGTGAGACTGTAACAGGAGGGTGGAGATGAGCTCTGAAGCCCCTTCTCGTCACTTCTTTGGGTATGTGTGTCAGAGGTGTTTAAACCAGAGTGACTCCATCTTGTATAGAGGCTGGGTAAAATAAGGCCGAGACCCAGTGGGCTGCATTCCCAGATGAGTAGACATTCTAAGTTACAGGGTGAGATAGGTTGGTACAAGGTACAGATCATAAAGACCTTGCTGATAAAACAGGCTACAGTAAAGAAGTTGACTAAAACCCACCAAAAATAAGATGGCAATGAAAGTTACCTCTGGCCGTCCTCACTGCACATCATACACAAATTATAAGTCGTGAGCATGCTAAGGGACACTCCTGCCAGTGCCACGACAGTTTATAAATGCCATGGCAACATCAGGAAGTTACCCTATGTGGTCTAAAAAGAGGAGGAACCCTCAGCTCTGGGAATTGCCCACCCCTTTCCTGGAAAACTCATGAATAATTCACTCCTTGTTTAGTATATAATCAAGAAGTAGCACATATAAGCAGCTAAGCAGCCCATGTTGCTGCTCTGCCTATGGAGCAGCCATTCTTTATTCCTTTACTTTTTTAGTAAACTCACTTTCATTTTACTGTATGTACTTGCCCTGAATTCTTTCTTGCATGAGGTCCAAGAACCCTCTCTTGGGGTCTGGATTGGGATCCCTTTCTGGTAACACAAGCAGAACAGCTGCATGGACACAGCTCAGCACTGAGTGAGGTGGAGCACAGCAGAAAAGAACAGGAGCCAGCCCTGGCCTCAGTCTGCTCACAGCCTCCGAAGGAAGAGAGGCCTGGCATTGCTGGGTACACCCCAGACCTTAGCACAGGGTCCAAAGCCACAGTGCAGGAGACAGGAGGTCCTCAAGTCCTTCTGAGATGGCAGAACTGGGAATCCTCTAGGCTCTGGCCAGCCAGGCAGTCTTCAGGGAGGAGGCGGGGCTCCGTCTGAGGCCGGGACCACGGGGTGGAGTCAGGAGGTGATATCTAGGTGCAGAGACTGCACAGGTCATGGCAACTGGGAGCCGTGGGGAGACTTGATGAGAAGGGGCTGTGGTGGGTGGAAAGGAATGTGGCCACATACCACGTGGTTGCTGGACCCAAGCAGAGGCCTTTAGCTGTGTCCTGAAGTAGGGCACGGTAGCAGTGAAGGTGACCAACTGTCTTTGTTTGCTCCTGTGGGGCTCCTGGAACAAAGTGAACCAGCACAATTTTCTCACCCTAGCAGACTGCTCCCCTATGAACTCCATGGTAAGGACACGGGGCTGAGGAGCTATGGACTCCATGCCCCATGCCCGCAGTCCTAACTGGACACTTTCCTAAACATGCCATCCTCTCACTTCTTCCTCCTCTCTCCCCCTTCTCAAAGCTCCCAGACCCACAGCAGATCCAGGGCAGGGAGGTGCAGGGCAGGTGGGGCATTGGACAGGCTGCTCGATTCAGCAGGTGAGATAACAAAGCTTCCTGGGCAACAGGCTGTGGCCACAGAATGTGCACCTGGGAAGGGCTGACCCTTATGGCCAATGGAAGAACAAATAAAGTAAATCCAGCTCCTCCTGATTGTTCACATGCCCGAATGGAGCCCAGCAAGCAGGAATGCTCTTCGATGGCTGCAAAACCTGCTTTCACTCTGGATCAGATTGACAGCATAGATGCTGTGCCGCCGGCTCCTTCTTCGGGACTGATGGACATTAGGAGTGGTAAGGGCAGGTCTCCTATGCCTGCTCCCTTGGGGTCTTCCTCAGCTGCAGAGAGTTGCTTTGCCAAGGCCAGACTCCCCTCTCAGGCCCTACTTCCCCTGACTGATTGACAAGTCCCGAAGGGCCGCCCCGTCTTCCGAACTCCTCCCAGGGTAGCCTGAGTTTCCTTGGGCCTCTGTTGCAGCCCAACTTCTCCTTCTGCCTGTGAAAGGAAAATAAATCTCAGAATCCCCAAATCACTAACCCAAGGGGAAAGTCAAGCTAACTATAGCAGACAAAACTGGCATCCCATTTTCTTCCTAAATAAGAAAGATTAAAAAACTACGCACTTCCCTAACAATTTGCCCACAAGACAATTCTCTGTGGGCCTCAAGATCTTTACCCTAAAGCAGTTCTGTTGATTTTCACCCTGGCAATGTAAACTGTTAGGTGGTCTCCACAGGTGCAGGACAGAAAGTCATCCCTCTGCTCACCGAGGACAAATGTGTATCTGATTGCTTCTCTGCCCTATTGTTTATATAAAAATGCAGATTTGCTGAGCCAGACTAAATTGTGCATTCAGTGAAACACTGATAGAGGACTTGAATGTAACTTTTGGCTTGACGCGGTGGCTCATGCCTGTAATCCCGGCACTTTGGGAGGCTAAGGCGGGCTGATCACCTGAGGCTGGGAATTCGAGATCAGCTTGACCAACATGGAGGAAACCCTTCTCTAAAAATTCAAAAAATTAGCCAGATGTGGTGGTGCACGCCTATAATCCCAGTTACTTGGGAGGCTGAGGCAGGAGAATTGTTTGAACCGGGGAAACCGAGGTTATAGTGGGCTAAGATGGCGCCATTGCACTCCAGCCTGGGCCACAAGAGCAAAACTCCATCTCAAAAAAAAAAAAAAAAAAAAAAAGAATGCAACCTTAGGTCTCTTATCTATCTATGACTTAGAAGCCGCCTTCCCCACCCCGCTGCCTGTACCCACCACAGACCAAACGTACATTGGTCCAGACCGAGTCAATGTACATCTTACATATATTGATTGATGTCTCGTGTCTCCTTAACATGTATAAAAGCAAGCTGCTCCCCAACCACCACCTGGGGCACATATTGTCAGGGCTCCTGAGGCTGTTACGGGCACGTCCTTAACCTTGGCAAAAGAGACTTTCTGAATTGACTGCGAC